TACATCTCAGTTACTCTTAACGAAAGTCTGTTACATCTCAGTTACTCTTAACGAAAGTCTGTTACATCTCAGTTACTCTTAACGAAAGTCTGTTACATCTCAGTTACTCTTAACGAAAGTCTGTTACATCTCAGTTACTCTTAACGAAAGTCTGTTACATCTCAGTTACTCTTAACGAAAGTCTGTTACATCTCAGTTACTCTTAACGAAAGTCTGTTTTCTAATTTGATTCGTAACTTGCTCTCTTCACAAGCTTAAGTACTTATTCTCTCTCTCTCTCTCTCTCTCTCTCTCTCTCTCTCTCTCTCTCTCTCTCTCTCTCTCTCTCTCTCTCTCTATCTATCTATCTATTCTCCTCGTCCCTGCTTCTCCCCATCTTTCCCGCTTTCTCGTTATTTCGTCATCTCTTTTCTTCTCTAAGCCTAGGCGATGTCCCATATCCCTGACACCATGCACCTGTTCATAAACTGTCTACCCACGGAGGTCCTTGCACATCTTGATACTGTCTATGGTCAGTCGTCTTCCCTCAAGCTTGGAGTACTCTGGCCCAGGATTTCTAGGCTGATGGTTGGCCTGCTATCATGTCATTCAGTGATGGGTTTGTTGATATTAACCCTGCCTATACACGGTTATACTAGAATTGCAGCCTGGCAGTAAGAATGTCGTTAACCCAGCACTGTCGACACCAGCAAGATTTTATTACCACCCTAGCACATTAATTAAGCTGGTTCTCATGAAAAATTTTGTCAAGGCCATGCAGAAAACAGATGATGCTTTCAAATATCTCATCAGAAAATGTCCAAGACTGAGTGAAGCTGAAAAAAAGAGAGGCAGTATTTGTTGGGTGAAGCAATAATCCTTCACCTCTAGACAACTAGAAATGCGGTCCCCACAAAGTTCCTTCGTGCGAGCCGCCGTGGTGACTATTATTCTTAGGTGACAAAAATAAGTAAAGGACAGTAGTTACAGGCCAGCAAATCAAGTAGTATATAATGCACCCATAAGCACCGATCCATACGTATCGATGATAGGTCTGAAAATAGGAGATAATTATTCCAAAGGGGGTACAATTTTTGTATAATTTGTTTTTTAAGTGGGAGACACATTTTAAAAAAAAATTTAAAAGGAGGAGACAAGTTAGGTCAGGGTGTACCCAGTGGGTAGTACCCAGGGGTGAGGGTAAGGAGGTCCCGTATGGCCGCTTCTATTTTAGGAGCACACATTCTTTTTAGGTAAAGTTGACAGCGTTATGATGGATATTTATGACCAGCGGAAGTGAGAGTCTCTAGAACCATCTACGTCACCAGGATCATCAACTTGCCCTTGTCGTCTGTGGGATTCACAGTGGTGGGGCAGGGAAGCCCTAAAGCACTCTTTGCTTAAGGAGCTCTCCTGTCTTGTTTTTGGTGCGAGTGGCATCGCTATGTTATGGTTTATCGACTAGTATGGGTCGCTATGTGTGCGCCCCTGCTGTTTTTTTCCCCCCCTGTACTGTGTTATTAGGGTGCGGTGCCTCTGTCTTCTGTTAGTTGTTTGTCCATAAGTGCCCTGGTTAATAATTATAATTTTTGTTCCACACCCCCCCCACCCTCAACCCCCAGGCAAGGATTAATATACATGTCACACAATCTGAAACAGTCACAAAATTAAACCAGCGAACAAAACTGTACAGCCGCCAGTTTACATCAATTCCGGCTAGAGGCGGTGTGAAAAAAAAAATTAAAATAGCCAGGAAACGATATTTTTCCCACCTAAAAGAGGCCACAGGGGCCGCCCTGCCCCACCCCTAGGTACCCCTGGGCGCACCTAAGCAGCACCATACAGTTGCCAAGTTGTGCCCAGATTTCCGCACCATTTGTTAGCCTCCAAACTAGATACTGAATACCAGTGCCCCGCCAGACAATTAAACCACTTTCAAACGGTGTGCTTTGGAAAACAAATGCAGATCAAATGGCAAGACAAAGTACCTGAAACCTTAGTCCTTGAGAAAGTAGCCATGCCCAGCATCCACACTCTACTGATGAAGTATCAAATTTGTTAAGCTGGTCATGTGGCACGCATGCCAGATCACAGGCTATCTCCAGCCCCCCCCCCCCCCCCCCCGCCTTCTCTACCCAAACAAGAAAAACTCTTCTTTGGCGAGCTGCAAAATGGGAAACGTTCCCAGGGCGGGCAAAAGAAACGCTTTAAGAACATCTTGAAGTCTTCACTCAAAACATTTAGGATAAATGACACCAACTGGGAGGCTGCCTCTCAAGACTGAAATGCATGGCGTGCAACTCTACACAAGGGCTCGGCTACATGTGAAGCAAACAGAACAGCAAGACTGATTAGGAAAAGGATGGACAGAAAGGTGACTGATGGAGATCCCCTCCCTGGCACAACACTCATTCCCTGTCCTCACTGTCGAAAAACTTTTCGGGCCCGCATCGGCCTCATTAGTCATCTTCGTACTCATACTTGATGAAAAAGAGTGGTCATCAACATCTTGATAGACAACACACACAGAATGATGTTAGAGTCCTATACTTTTACTGGTTAATATAGTTCATTAGGTGTTCTGGCTTATATAACACTAGTCGCATTTACTTATTATGATATTGTCTGGTAGTCTTTGTGGCCTTGAATTTCGTGGGAAATGAGATCTGTTTTAAGCACACCACCCCCCTAGATGGTGATTCGAACTCATGGCCCTTTTGGCGGTAGGTAAGAATGGCAACCACAATGGTATGGGTCTTTTAGTGCTAATGTCGCATCGACACTTGATGCTAGACACAGGGTTTTTGTTCTAGATTAAAAGGGGCCAGTATTGCGAACCGTTTCGTACTGCTATAAGAAAGCCCCGGGTAAACTCAAATTTGTACAAACCAGTTGGTACTTTATATGTGATATTGTAAATATCACGCGGACTGCATTATATCTCCCGTGAAATGTGACATATTTTCAAATTTTATTGTCGGGTAGTGAAAAATGTATGTAGATTTTGCTAAAGAAAATGTTTAGCTATTGTTTTACTTTTGTATACAAATTCAGTGTGTGAGTTCCTGGGCGCCATTGTGTTGGAAAAGCTAAGGTCCAGAACTTGACGAACAAGCAAGACTTTCCTCCGGGGTTTACAGCCGATAAACGCAAATAAGAAGGTGAAAATATTGTATAAAATGTTACAAACATTGACAAGTAATATTAAACATGAATTTGATCATATCAATAAACAAAACACAACATGTTTAATTGATAATAGGCTAAATAAGCTTGATACATTCTTTTAAGAAACGAAATCATTTCTTCATCTTTCACTTACCGCAAACTTTTTTTATGGGCTGCTTCTTATATAAGAAATATGGGCACCTGCGTACAGTGACCAAACACCGTGTGGCATTAAGCCTAATGATTACATAATCAGCAAGTATACAAAAAAGTTTCATTATATTGAATGACCATATCAGCTTTGATTGAATGCCGGGACACCTAATGTTTACGGGTGGGCACTAAATAGGCACCACGATTAGTGAACGAGATCTTGAAGTTGGAGATATGGTCCTATTGCTTCTTCCAACGGGAAAATCCAAAATTGATATCGCTAGGCAAGGACTCCATAGTGGATTCGAGAAGATCACAGGAGTCATCTAAGAGTTAATTTAAAAGGTAAGACTAAAGTCTACCACGTGAACCTGCTCTGGGCGTTCAACAATACAGAGGTGAGTGACTTAGGGACCATTATGGCACCTTCTGTAGGTATGGAGGTTAAAGGTGTAGAAACCACACCAGTGGAGCATCACTAACATTCTCAGGAGATGAATGAAGAGGCTGAGAGTATCTCGACTTCCCCTTCCTCTCAAAATTGCTTCGTTGCACAGAAGCGGCAGGAGCAAAGTTTACAAGGTAAAAAGGAACATGGTGAAAGTTCAGACCTCCAGAAAGGACTGAAGGAGGAGAATATTCTATTTAGCCCGATGGACCTTCCTCTGCGTGCTGGAGACGATACTGGAACAAGGAAACTCTTTCCAAGGATTCGAGGATAACCCGTGTTATTTTTTGGGCTGCTTCATCTACCAGGTTGTTGGGATCGGCGTCGACCTGCGTCTCATTGTGAACCTGGATATAGTTCACATATACAGTGTTGTAATCGTCAAAATCAAGATCCAAGGAACCATCAAAAGATTCAGTATCATGACATCCGGAGGGATTATTGTGTTCAAGATCCCGTATTAATAAAGGTGTTTGAGAGAGGAGTTTTTAAGTCGCTGCCCTATCATGTCAAGAGATTCACTGACCAAGGTATCCTGTTCACCATCATGCTAATTACCGACACGATCTTGGATATAACCCAGGGGGAGAGAAACTAACTTGAACTCCTAAAAGGTTAATGTTAGAGTTGCAGGTTTGCTGCCTAGACTAATACGAGCCACCATCACAACAATTTGCCATTTCTGAGTGTCAATTCGTCTCCAGATATATTTATATTTTCAGGTTTTACTTATATTGTGACACGAAGCTTTACCGTCTTACTACAATCGGATATTCCCAGCATGATAAACTCTTATTATGCCTCCTTATTTGAAGCAAATGGTTGTTCTTGGGTCTTTAATTTCATGTGTAATGAGATTACATCATCAGACAGAAGATGGTGCCACAGAGAATAACATCATGACGTGACAGGCAAAAGTAGCATTGCAATGTAAGGAAAAAAAGCATTTTATGTAATAGGTCTCTGCCATTAAACACAGTACGAAATGTCATGTAAAACTAGGACGGTTATATCGTTATGAATCGCGAATTGTGAATAAATAAGTTCAGAAGAACTTGGAGGTCTGGATGTGGTGTTTATGAGACGCACGAATAGACAGCCAGAACAAGTAAAATAAAACGTTTGTCTAGAAATCACTATTTAAATTATAAAATTGTAAAAAATTATAAGACAGATTATTGTGTGGTCTTTAATACATCCAGTGATATTACGATGACGCAACAGCAAGGGTAGGTTGGTGATATCAATTATGTTATGTCTGGATGTTCCTTTTCTTCTGGTACTTTCTGCGTGCGCAATACAAGACCGTCTCAATCAGCACCTCGACTATTTCCATGGCAGTTAACAAAGAGAACCCCAATCCTAGCCCCAAAAGCCCACCAATAGTTCCTAGCAGCAAGTTCCAGTCGTACTTAGCCTGTGTGGTGAATTCTTTGAACTCCAAACTATCCAAAAAGATTTCAAGCCTCAAAAAGTTGGAATGGATAAACGTTTCTAAAGAAGTATTGTACGTGAAAGAAACGTTTCGTAAGGAAGTATTTTTCCCAGTGTCCAAGAAAGTATCAATTTTGGAGTCAGGAGGCCATAGTGCGGTCGACAAGAGTACGTCAAATGTGGTGCGATCACATGCAGGAGGGCAGCGTTCATCGCAGTCCAGTTCATGTTTTAGGAATAGATTTTGGACCTCAATTTCGCAAAGGAAATCCTCGACAGTCTCGCACAGTAGCTCAGTGTTATTTGTTGCTGTTGTTGTCCTATCCATATTCAAAATGTCAGAATGGTAACATGGTTGGTCTACGTCACAGCATTCACACTTTTCATACAATGCCGTGTGATAACACGATCTCATGCATGCATTTTGTATGTACTTTGTATCTGGGTAGAAACTACGCTGTGAGCTGCTTTGTCCGTTTGCACTGATACAGTTGCTGTACGGAAATGGCAGATCTTGGTATATTTTCTGCAACAAATGGTAAAGATGATACACAAGATTAACTTAAAACTTTCGCTACCATCAATCAGTCAGTCAGTGAGTCAATCAATCAGTCAGTCAGTTAGTCAGTTAGTTAATCGACAGATTATCCTCATTGCAGATTGAACCATTTAGTCCATATGTGCTGTTATCCCCCCCCCCCCCTCAGTCAAACCTGGAGCGTGTAGCCAGAAATGGTTCGAGTTCTGTGTTGGTTTCTCATTCTTCTTCGGCTTCCTGCATAGTGCACTTGTCTGACCACATCCCATTTTAACATGTTGTTCTTGCAGTCTATTTATGGTTGCAGATTCACAGCCATCACTTGGTTCTAGCAAGCGTAGTACTTCTCGTAGAGGAGTGCTTTTAAACCTTTGTCAGGTCGCGTCCCCTTGATTTATGGCAAGTCTCCCGCGCCCCTCACTTAAATATACAGCGGGATCCTAGCTACCCACCCCCCCCCCCTTCACCTTTCCAACCCCTTGAGTATGTTGCAAGATTCGCCCAGAATTTCTCTCTTGTTGTACCCCACCGGGACATCACACAAGTGATAAACACCCGGTGACACAAAGTGCTACCATGCGGATGAGGATCACCCGTGGATAGGTATCAGAAACCCCTTTCAGCCGTTAGACCACATTTATGGCCAGCCTATATTCAGGCCCCCTCGGCTAAAGCCAGTTTTGGGCTTCAAATAACGAAAAATTGCATTTCACATGAGGAGGCTAGTTGATCTGAGTAGATTCTGCAGTAAAAGAAACAGAAAACGTCGAGATACGTTTTGGCCAGAATGTGCTCTTAATTTAACAATAAATGCCAGTGTTATCAAATTATTTAGATTTTTACTGAAGATAAACAAACTGCTTATGAAAACAAAACAGAAATGTCCTTGGCTTTTTGCTTTATAAATTGTGTAGTATTTTAGTTTTAATCAAACTGAAAAACAAAATATAAAGGATTATTGCATAAACAAAGGAACACAGATGCTGAATTGCTTGACGCCACCTTTGATACCTATTTGCCACCCCCCCCCCCTTTTTTTTTTTTGTGTATTCCCTACCCCAGAGGAGCGGTCCTAAGTTTTGAGACCACTGTCGTAGAGCATTCAGTATATCACCGTGGCCCATGGCTCATTCGCTCTAGGCAGTAGTTGCACATGCAAACCTATCAACTAGCTTATTTTCTTGCACGCCTGTGTTCCCTGGCACGAATACGTCACTGAACCTTGTCAGCCCCGACCGACCGCGATGTTACCAGCAGTACCGAACTTTACACTGCCATTTATACAGATGGGTCTGTGGTTTGACACGTCAGAAGCTATTGGTGTTTACTGGTCGGGTTGAAGGGAGAACTATGAAGGAAGATGCTGATATGCTTTTGCTCTGACTGAAAGTATTCTAACTACGGAGATCATTGCAGTAACTGTGCTTTTACTTGGAATACAGGTCTTTATTCTGAAGTTTTCTTTGTGACTCAGTGAGTATGATCAGGAAGATAGTCATTGGCTGGGCCCGTAGACAGGTATTGGAGCATCTGAAGCAGTCACGGTTACCAAAAGTAAGTTTCTTTTTTGTGTGCCAGGGAGTGCTGAGCTAAAAGGAAATGAGAAGGCTGATAAGCATGCATATGAGGCTAATATGGAAGTAAATGAGTGAATGAATAACACATGATTGAATGATTGAATAAGAGAATGAATGAGTGAAAAACTGACATCATTGCACTAGGGACATTGCTGTTCTTAGCAATCCCCTTCTTCGGTAGCCAAAGAAGCGTCGACATGCTAATAGTGCCAGTTGCAACATGACCAATGTTCCCTTTTTTCCGCTACGTATTGAATATCTTTCAGAACATCTGCATCGCCGTTCAATTACTCTTTCAATGTGTGGAGTTTATGTCTATTGTTAGACACTGTCCATTTAATCTATGGGAGCGTTTACTAGGTCTGATTTATCGCGAAGTAGCTCACCGCAGGAGGAGCGATGGCAACTATTCATAGCATGGAGAAAGGTCAGCACATGAACTGTTACATACTTTTGGAGATAGTATGATCGTCCATTCCAGGCAGCAAAGCAATCAGGAGGTAGGAAAACTTCACTCTAAGTTGTTGCATTTGATTACTCGCCTGTGTCGTGGTGACATTCAGCTTTGTTGCCGATTAGTTTTGTGTGTGTGTGTGTGTGTTTATAGTCATGAGAAAGACTTTAAACGAAACGTTCGCTTTTCGACCAGAATGTTTTTCCTCTTCGTAAACTTCAATCTGTATGTTGTGGTCAATCAGTCTTCGGTAACGACTGGACAGCGTACATCTTTTCATTTTAATACGATTCTGTACTGTAGTGGCCTCCCAAATTTCACCCCCTTTTACTATGAAAAAAATTGTTGGGGGTGAGGGGGGGGGGGGGTGTTAAGAGAGGGAGAGAGGAGAATATACCCATTTCTTCTTCTTCTTCTTCTTCTTCTTTCTTCTTCTTCTTCTTCTTTCTTCTTCTTTTTCTTCTTCTTCTTCTTCTTCTTCTTCTTTTTCTTCTTCTTCTTCTTCTTCTTCATCTTCTTCTTCTTTCTTTCTTTCTTTTCTTCTTCTTCTTTTTCTTCTTCTTTGTTTTTCTACTTCTTTTCTGGTCCTAATTCGTTATGGAACAGCGTACCCTTAGTGTAAAAAAAAAAAGACGACATAGGGGGGGGGGGTGAGGGGGGGGGGGGGGTGGGTGGGGGGGGGTGGGGGGGGGGGGGGGGGGGGAGACCAAAAATACCCATTTCTTTTTTTCTCTCCTTTTTCCTTTTCTTTTCTTCTTCTTCTTTCTTCTTCTTCTTCTTTCTCTTTTTCTTTTTCTTCTTTCTTCTCTTTCTTTTCTCTTCCTTCTACTTCTTTGCTTCGTACTGCTTTCTTCTTCTTCTTCTTCTTCTCTGTCTCTTCTTTCTATTCTTCTTCCTTGTCTCTTCTTCTTCTTCCTTCTTCTCTCTTCTTGTTCTTCTTCTTCTTCTTCTTCTTCTTCTCTTCTTCTTCTTTCTTCTTCTTCTCTCTCTTCTTCTTCTTCTTCTTCTTCTTCTTCTTCTTCTTCTTCTTTTCTAGTCTTAATTCGGGCACTGGAACACGGTAAAACGGTATAAGCAACCCCACCCCCCCTCCTCCCCCCCCCCCCCCCCCCCCCCCAAAAAAAAAAGGTAATAAAAGTTTGTGTGTTTTTTTCGTCACGAAAATGAATCAGTTTACAACAGGACATCGAAACGACGTCAAGGAATCATCATTACCTGTTTTATTGCAATCCTGGTCAGGGTACCTGGTGGTGCTAATATCCCGCTAACTTCAGTAAATGGGTTATCGTCGTGTGGGTGTATTATGATATTCAGCCCAGCTAGAGATGTTGTATTCAGATATTCGTATTGCTCAATGTTAAGCTCCAGAATCAAGCCATTTCTTGGGCCGGGTTTCAGAACGTTCCTGCAGTCAGGTGAGAATTGTTTTTATTAGGTATTTTGTATGTGCATTAGCATTACTGCTGGGGGGGGGGGGGGAGGGGGGGGGGGTGGGGGGGGGGAAAGGGCAGATATGGTGAATAATGACTGGTACTGGGAAGTAAAGGTGTCCTGCGTGGTAAGGACCACATTAACTACAGAATACGGATAACACCGCATATATATTATTCTGCATTGAAAACAGTCTTTTAATATGTTATACTGAAAGTGGGTGCTTCTGCGGGACCCCAACGAAAATCATAGCCTTCAGGTTACTTGGTGAGCGTTAGAGGATCTGAAATAAGACACTATTATCTAGTGAGCAGTGTTTGAGAGATTTCTACTATAGTGAATCCTACTCCTTGTGTAAGAGGCTGTTTAACGTTTCAGAAAACAGTCATAAAGGATGGAAATTCTCAGCGAAACAGATGTAGTGGTACGGATTTTGAGAATGATGGACAATGAGTGGGACAATGAGTACAATTATATAGAATCTAAAGGCCGTGTTGGTATGGATTTTAGGAACCGTTGTAAATGTGAGACAATGAACGAAATTATGAAGAAACTAAAGACACAGGTGATATGGATTTTGAGAACCATTGTAAATTCGAGACAATGAACTAAGTTATGCAGAACCCAAAGCCACCGGTGTTATGAAGTTTAGGAACCGTTGTAAATGTTGAGAAGGAAATTAAATATGGCTACAATTAAGTCAGATAATATATTTTGATATCTGCACACATGGAAAATGTCGTGTGTCTCTGGTTTTTGAAATGGTTAGCAGCTGTCCTGCATTTACGTATGGGTGCCCTTCGCCTGGGTACATTGACCTCATAACCATTTAATATCGCCCCGGGACTAACATACGTTCTGCAATTGCACCAGTACTCTTTAATGTGTATACAAGCAAAACTGAAGAGCTTGAAGCACCTCGTGTTGGAAGGATATTGACATTTGCAGATGATGTTCTTGCATATGCGCAGGAAGTTATAGGTCTGGAAGAGTCTGTCTGACAGGTATGCTGAAATGGGTGTTTTCATCGACTAAAACAAGACGGCTGTTTTATGGTGCTCTCTGGACAATAGAATTGCAAGAGTTAATGTTCCGAGGCTCGCAGGTAATGGCAGAAACATTACAAGAGAAAGCAAACGGAGGTACCTAGATTTTTTTCCGCCGGAAGCCTGTCTTTCAGGGATCATGTTGAGGCAGTTGATGTAACATTCCAAAAAAGGACTCAATGTTCTCAAGATCATGACAGCAATGGACACGGAATAAACAATGCCCTTAACAATGTTTCAGCATGTGACCCTGTTGATGATCGATCATGGACACTTGGCATGCTTACCATATCAAAAAGTCAGCTGATGAAACATAAACGCATACTGAACATACAGAAGCATGGGATGTACAAGAGATACCCCCGGTAGTATGTATGCGATATATACTTGTCCTGACCACTATTGCAGCTAACCTCAAAGTTTTGCAAAGTTTTATCTCAGAGTAGTTGCCAACAAGAAGCACTTACTGCCAGAAGCCCCGGGGTCACAGACTGAAAAGAGGTCTTGGATGGCGCTAGCTGAAGACTTGCTTAAAAAATAAGGGCGAGGAGAGGAATGGGTCAAAGTGTCAGAGCAGGAATCATACATTTTTAGGGTTCTAATCACTTTAGTTTGTGAGTGCATAGACTGGCCAGCTAGTGCTGCAAAATCAAAAGTTCAACCAATGATTCCTGACAGTTCCCGCCCACGTGATTTAATTCGGAGTAGACCAAGTGCGTGAGGGTTGAAAGCAAAAACGAAATGACGTCGCTGATTGCAACAAAGCCTGTCATATGAGATCACAACGCCTAGTCTGGTAATGGAGGTGGAGGCAGTCACTGCTGCTTTTCACTGGAATGATAATCAGCAATACACACATGTCGTAATTGTAACTTACTCACAGCGTATACTGGGAAATGTGGAGACCGACAAGCTCCGAGCAGAGTGGCAAACATCGCTTCAGATGTCCCTTTGGATATTTTATCCAGGTCAAACCAGTGAGTTTTGAAACGAGCAGGCAGATAGAATAACCGGTTCTGCATCACCTGGTGTAAATTGGTGTCAAATGAGCTTAAGGGGTCACTACAGGGCATTTTTTCCAATTTATGACAAAAATATCAATTTTTCAATGTGTTCGTTTTTGTAAAGTTCGGCATTCGTAGAATAGATTACATACAAAATTTGTGTCATTTGTAAACAATTTAGCTTTGAAAAGTTAGTACTAACGGCACCAACCCATGCACTTTTTTAAGATTAAAAATTTTTTTTTTAAAGTCAGTTTTCTCATATCTCTAAATTTCTGTTTGTTGTGTGTGTGAAATCCTTAAATCTCAGCTAATAAAAAGACTAGAAAGATGAAATTGAGTATGGACACATCTTTCACGATATTATAGGGACTGGTGTTTTTAAAATCAGATTTTAGAAAGATTTTGTGTTTTAAAATTTGATTATTGTCATATGATGCAAGATTTTTTTTTTTTGGTGACTTTTTTAAAATTAACCTACATTTTAAAAAATTATACAAAAAATATTTAAAAACATGTTTAAAACAAAATAAACTAAAATGGTACCTCTAAATAAGAAAAAAGGTCATGAAACTATCGTCTATTGTTTAATACGTATGCATGTTTTTGATATTTTAGGATTCTAAGTACATGTTTTTTTTTTTTCCTCAAGATGGCGGCTGTTGTAATGACAACCATCATTTTTTCACACTTAAAGTATGCAAATGTAATAACATTTATCCCTTTAAATGACTATTATTAAATAATTGCTCTAACTCTGTAAATAAAAAAAAAAAATAAAAGATTTGGCATAGTGATCCCTTAATATTGTGAGGGCCCGTTTTGAGTGAGTGAACAGTGCTGAGGCACAAACAGATCAATATGGTGTGAGGAGAACGGCGCTGCGGGGAGTTCCCAGGGGATCTGCCCAACGCTTAACACTCAAGGGAAAAGCGAGACGGATGTACAATCAGACAGTTACTGGTACCATCGGTATTGGAACTCTTCGTTTGCTGCTGAAGATGGGACGGAGCACTTATGTGAGTGTCCCGAGTACTGTGATGACGATTCTTAATTCAACATTCAACATATTTTAAACTTGAAGTTAAAACCTGTTAAAATTAAGAGGAGCATCAATGGAACAGCCGAATAAAGAAATAACTGTCATGAAGAACACAAATCCTAGAAGGAGGGGAATGGGAGAAAGGTTGTGACGAAAGCACAAATTACTGGGCAACAAATAATACTACTAAACACACTATCTGCCTCAGTATACAAGATAGTAACAAACCAGGAGGACAAAGAGGAGGATGAAAAGTAGGAAGAGAAGGAGCAGTGTAAGATGAAGAGAAGAAAACGATGATGCTGCTGATAAGGATGATGATGATGATGATGATGATAATCATGATCATGATGAACGAGAATTTACATTAATTAGCACATACTGAAGAAGATTGTTCTCGATGTGGAAGGTATTACATCTGCCGTAGTTTACTGTTCCGGTCTGTGAGAAGTTGGCCTCGGAGCAACGCCTCTGAAATGAGAAAATGGTGAAGTTATAGAAAATTAGAAACCTTAGAGACAGTATAAGGAAGTATTATACCAGTTGATAACATACCAGATGATCACCTGTAGTAAGTAAAAGACTTTTTCCATGTCCTTGGGTGCATTCTGTATATTGTGCTAGACCTTTATTTTTAGACCAATAGAAGATTAAGAAACAAAATTAAACTAGAAATCAGCGATGAACAATGTGGATTTGTAGAAGGAAAAGGTACAAACAATGCCATATACATCCTAAGGACATTGTCAGAAAGAGCTATAGAAGTAAAGACTGATTTGTACTTATGCTTCACAGACTGTACAAAAGCATTTGACTGTGTGAAGCATGAAGTAATCAAACTGTTAGAAAAATTAAACATTGATGGGAAAAATCTACGAATAATAAAGAATATGTATTAGCAGCAAACAGCAGCTATAAGAATAACAACTGTTTAGGTAAATTTCAAAGCATAAAGAGGGGCGTACGACAAGGATGTGTACTGTCACCTGATTTGTTTTCAATATACAGTGAATATATAATGAGATCTTTAATTGACATGCCCGGAATTGTGGTTGGTGGGCACAATATAAACAATTTACGTTATGCTGATGACACAGTCTTGATAGCAACAAGTCAGAAAGAACTACAGGAAATGATAGACATTGTGGTGTTAGAAAGTGGAAGAATAGGCCTCAGTTTGAATAATGGAAAGACAGAAGTAATAGTGGTATCAAAAAAACGAATTGTTCCCAAATGTGTAATACAAGTCGATGGTATTATTTTAGAACAAGTACAGAAATTTAAGTATCTGGGCACATGGATAACATCAGATGGAAGATGCATAACTGAGATAAGAAACAGAATATGACAGGCAAAAACTGCATTTTATCAAATGAAAAACATCTTGTGCAATATATCCTTGTCATTGAGAGTTAGAAAAAGAATTCTTGCTTGCTACATACATCCAGTTTTAACATATGGCTGTGAATCCTGGACAATCGGTAGGCAGGTCAAACAATTTCTAGAGGCCTCAGAGATGTAGTTTTACAGAAGAATGCTTAGAATACCTTGGATAGCCAAAAAGAACAACAAAAAGGTTTTGAAAGAGGCGGGAGCCCAAAGACAACTTATCACAGACATCAGAAGGAGACAGTCATTGTTTTTCGGCCATGTTATGAGAATAAATAAAATAGAACATGTTGTGACCACTGGAAAGCTCTGTGGAAGGAGGGATAGAGGAAGACAACTAGAGAAAATGCTTGACAGTCTTGTTGCATGGCATGGAGGTATGTCGGCACATGAACTGATACATGCTGCAGGAGATCGCAGATTATAGAGAGGCATGATCGCCCACGCCAGTCGGCAAGGCACCTGATGATGATGATGATGATGAGACGTCACTCGGTATGTGATAAAGGTAACGTATCGACGGCCGCCTTTACGACTTCTTCGAAGGACTTTACGTGCTGGGTCGACTTGTGAGCCAATGTAATGTTTATCAAGAGTAATCAACTGTTGTAATATATATATATATATATA